CGCTCTAGAATCACGGAGCCGGGCTCTTGCGATCCATTTGTCCGCGCGGCCTCGTCAAATTGCGCTTCCGGCCGAACCTTCGTCCTTCGTGCACTTTCCTCTGCCTCGCCCCATCCGCCGTTCACCATTTAAACTCGCACTTCGCGCGAGCGATGCTCTCGTGAAGCGACCCTGTGCAACATTTATGTGGCTCGCGAGAGCGCCGGGAAGGAACCGTGCCGATCCGCTCAGAACACGCTCGCCGTAACTGCGCGGCTCAGTCGTAACTCCGCAGGAAAGAAAACACTTCGCGAATAATCGCTCCGCGGATACGTTCCCCGTTGCGCTGCCTGAAGTCTCCCGGCATCGAGTATTCCTTTAGTGGTAAACACGGTAAACTCCTCGATGCTTGTTCTTCGAGTTTAGGTTGATCGGGCATTCTGTTTGAAGAATGTGGAACGAATGAAGTATCAAGATTGATCGGTTTGGATGGCGTAGCGTTTGAATAAATAAGAATAGATTATACGGGAATACTGTTAAACGGGGTAGCGCTCCTGTTGCAGGTGACCTGGATCAGAAGGAAGGACAGGCAGCTGCTGACAATCGGCAGAACCACCCATTCCATCGACACGCGGTTCATCGTCGTGCCCAACAGTCCGGACTGGACTTTAATGATAAAGAACGTGAAGCAAGAGGATGCTGGGCTGTACGAGTGTCAGGTAACGCGTAGAATCGTGTCTGAATACGATTACGCAAGTTTGCGGAACACAAAAAGTAATGATAAACACGAGAATCTTATGAAGTTACCGGGTAATCATGCAAGAGGACACTATTCTACGCCATTGTTGTGTAAGATGAATGAATTGCCGGAAAACAACGTAGCATTCCCTTATCACTTTGCTTGGGTGATTTACGATGGTACTTGAAGTAATGAAGAAAGTATCAAGATCAGACAAGAATACCCTTATATTTTCTTGTGACAGATCGTTCATTAACTTGTTGACCCAGGAAGACGATCAGCTCTATCCATAAACTGTTTTTTATTTCATTATTTATGTTAATGGCAAATATAAGTCGAAAAATTTTCGAAAATAATAAGAATGATGGGACAGAAGTTTGTATTTGTTTAGATCCAAACTGAGCCAGTTCAGCAACGATTCGTTCAGTTAAGAATCACCGAGGCGTACTCGACGATCCCAGGCGGGCCAAATCTGCACGTGAAACAAGGATCGAGCCTTCGGCTGGAATGCCAGCTAATGGCTTCCGCGGAAGCGCCCAGTTACATTTTTTGGTTCCGACAGGGTCGCATGATCAATTACGACAATGAGCCGGGAGTCACGGTTGAGCCAACAAAAAACGGCTCCATTCTGGCTGTTGACAAAGTAAAACTCTCCCACGGTGCCAATTACACATGCTTGCCGAGTAACGCCAGGCCTGCCTCCATTATGATCCACGTGATCGAAGGTCAGTGAATTTACTGAGAGGAACGACAATTACTCAGACAAACGATTATTTCCTGCGAAAATTGTTCTATATTGAATATCGATGGTCTATAATATTAACCTTGCCACGGTTTAGAAAGCGAATAATGGCGCCATCTGACAGCGACACATTTAACTTTCCCATAAGGGTTGTAAATATTTTTAAAGATAAAGCACAATCAGTAGCAGTTCAAGTACTGGAACACCCAAATAATTCTTACCAGTTTTCCCGTATGTCATACTGTTATACGTGGCAAGGAAAATATCAGAGACTTCAATGCCCGATAAGACATGTTCTCGAGTCTGCTTATAAACGTCAGACGATTGATTGATGCCAGTTCTGCTCCAAATGTAACCATGTTTTTCATTGCGTTAATGGACAATCGAATATCCCTTGCTAGGGAAAAACCGTCAATTTAAAGTAGATATTTCGATTTCAATATTACAAAGTAGCATCAGTAGCAAACCGTCTTTTTAAAGTTGGTATGAACACGATCGAAAGTAAATTCATCCTCCAGTCCAAATACAGGGTCCCGTTCAATATTAAAATGAGAAGATCCCCGGCCAACATTACCATCCAATTTCACTAAGATATTCCCGAGAGGATTCGCTCTCCCGTGTTCCCGACCGTCGCGTTTACCCGCCGTGGGGACAACATACGCCGCCCCGTCGTTTAGTTTTCATCATAAACATCGGGTGTTGTTCCGCCCCGGCGGAAGTTAATTCCTCGTTGTTGTTTTTCGTTTTCCAGAGGAGGAAAAACCAGCGGCGATGCACGGCGGCGATCGGCGGAACGCGACGCGCCGGGCGTCCATCAACGTCATGTTGATTTTTCTGACTTTCCTCGGTGTACAGTGCACAAGCTGCCTCTGCCTGCAGCATTCCCGCGTCACGTGACCAGCCCAACGTGTCACCAATGTCGCCGAATTAGCATCCACCGGGAACTCGAACATTTTCCGACGACGTACTCGTTCCGCCGAACGGACGCTTGCCCGTTCATCACTCCCGTGGGCGCCCTTGAACGGCTAACGTCGAACACCGGAAACGGCGAGCTCCTCGAGTATTAAAAGTTCGTTTCAAGCAGCGTTCAATTCGCGCGTCTCGTTCGCAAATCGCTCGATCCGACTCGGCGAGTCCGACGCGAACAATTCCTTGGAAGAAGTTAGTTAATCAGACACTGGTGATGTATCAGCTTGAAATAGCCGAGGAACGGTGTGCGGCTTCGAACGAAGGCGGAACGCGATACGGGGGATCCGTCGCGACCCGAAGTTTCGAAGAAGCTTGAAATTGCGCCCCGTATCGCGGAGCTACTTCAAATTTCGCTAACGAAAGTCTGGCCACGGTGCCATGCTCGACACTATCATTAAGCGAAGACTCCGGGAAGGATGACATTTCAGTTCGTTGATACCGTGTATGTACAGGTTAACGTCGCGATATATAATGCATCTTCCGCGACGTGTTTAATCCGGAATTCGCGGTACCGCCATTATGCGCTCGGACTTGTTACGCGAAAATTCAATACGCCGTTCGTGAAACGCATTCTCTATGTAATTTGAATCTCATCTACCTAAACTTCTCTCCGTTATACAATTCAATTCGCTGTGTTCGGTACCACTGTTCCACGATGTTGTATTATAACATTATATATGCTATACGTGTCGACAGAAATCTTATTCGTTATAATTATGAATTAATTTCATATGGTACATCCTTTATTCCGGGAAGAAGGGCGCTTAATTATTTCCTTGAGCAACGACGTCCGACCCAAAAGACCGTCAACGCCTCAAAGAATAATTACGTTTCCTCTAATGACACGCGAGGTGTGACGCGAAATTGAATTCGCGATGCGTTTTCAATAACAAGCAGCCTTCCGGCGCGAATGCGACGCGCCGGACGATTGTGCCCAATCAAAGGCGACTGCTTTCGGCGCTTTTAGCGCAAGGAACGTTTCATTGAACCACGGTGTCGTAGAACGTCTTCGTTAATTAAAAGGAAAACGCGTTTAGTCGACGTGAATGCGAGGATGCGCGACAAGTATCACCGCGCATTCAAACGAGTGCTCACGATTTCCGGCGCGTTTCTTCGTTGAATAGAAAGGTCTGCGCGTATGCATAAGGGACGTAGTATGGGGCGACACGCGTCATCGAAGAATCAAAAGGCCGGCTCCGTTTTCGAATCCGGATGAATTTATTGCGTTGAAAATGGATTCCCTCTTCTGCCGCTGGTTTAAGCAGCCGCGAAACAAGCTCTATAAACTTGAACGCGCGGAAAACGCGTCCCCATTCAGGCTCGCGGGACCTTGCGTTCGAATGAATGGGTAGTCATGCTGGGCTACAATTGCCGCGCACACGGCCTATTCACGTACGTGCACTTCCTCATATAAATACCGTCGACCACCATTGTCTTAAATTTCTTTCAAACGCGCCGCATCAGCCACCGCCCACGCGCTGCCACCGACGATTTCACCTTTTGTCGCGAACGGACGATTGTACTACCAACGGAACGCCTGTGTTCGCTTTAATTAACATTCTCGTGGCCCGTGCGGACAGTCGCAATCGGAAACTCCGTGTCGGGCCGCTGCAGTTTGTCCGCCATCTTGTCGGCCGCGTCTCCCCGCGATAACTGCCGCTGTAACTCGTGACAGCCATGTTTTCGGTGAAGCCGCGTGTATGGCTGACATATGGCTAATAGAATTTGAGTATTTTATTATGTACTCCCGATTGTGAACGTTTTACTCGATCAATGTTTAATTGCGATCCTTCTCTAATCACCACGAATCTGATCATTTCGGTCAACTCGTTTTTGCGCGACAGAAGTTCGGTACGTTCTCGTCGCGAGTTATATTTTTCGGTACGTCGATATTGATTAACGTCAATATTCGTGAATCTGGTGTGAGAGGATTGATTTGTTGCTTCTAACGGAAAATTGAGTGATCGGATTTTGAAATTGTAAAAAGTTACGAGGAATAGTATAAAAGAGCGACCCGTGTTGCTTTAGAATTAACTCAAATTCTTGCGATTTTTTTATTGAAACGTTTGTAAACGATAGTCAATTACGTTGGATTGATTATCAACTGTAATCGTCGATCGTCCCATCATGCACATTGTTCCGGGAAACCTAAGAAGCGTTTTATCGATTTGAGAACACAATCAATGTTTCCAGGTAACATTAAAATGCTCACTCGATGTATTAATGTGATCAGTGTATATACATGTATGTTAATTACAAATAAGTAAATGCAGTGTCTGGTGGTTCTTGTTCGAGAGCGCAGTTTCAGATGTTTTCAGTCAGAAAATAACTAAGCGTGCTATTAAATCTGTCTGCTTTCGCTATAAGAAAATTTCAATGAAATTATGATTAAATCATCTAGTGAAAATATCTGCAGCTGTAGTTTTCGATTAGTGGCACGTGAATAAAACGACCGACAGCCTCGGATATTTTCTAACGGAGGAAAACTGAAGTCAGACTCCCGATCAAAAATAACCAGACGAAACTGCATACTGTACCGAGAACGTTACTTCCACGAGGCACAAAGATTTTATCATATCCTTTTACACAGAACGAAATGCTGCACACTTTAGCCGGCGAGCGCACGCGTTTCAACCGCTTGGGCCGATCACGTAATTTTTTCTTAACGAGAACTTCGTGGAAGAAGCGACGGGTACCATTGAACATTTACCGAATCGATGTGCTCACTATCTATAGAGTCGTAGAAACTTCCTAGCCGCAGTTCAACATTTCGAGAATCGTATCAATTGACGTTCGTAGCATTGTATTGTTTTCCATTGACCGTCTGAACGGCGTCGAACGATTTACGATTTCTTTGGCGTCAGCTTTCGAAGAATATGTGAATTTTAAGAGTACAGTTTGAAACCTAGATTAATAAGTCACGTTTTCATCTTCACGATACTACGATCTTGCAAAATAAATTGAACATTTTAAACTCGTCTGGTTGGTTCACTGTCGATACGCAACTGCCGCTGTTCTCCGACAAGGTAAGTATAACCATACCCTATGCGTTATAGCGTTATAACGTTTGATCAAGTATATTGTTGGAAAATCTCGTGAGAGTAGAACCAAAGAACTTCCCTAAAATGTGAATAAGAAACCGTAACTCATCTTGAAATAATTCATTCTGATTCAAAGTTTGCACGAAAGATAACAGCGGCGAAAGTATCCGGAACCTGTCTCATATTCATAAGAATATATGCTGCTATCTCGCAACTCAATTTCCATTGAAATATGCTACGACTAGTCAGCGGATTTCATGCATTTCTAGCAGATGCAACCGACTAAAATATAACGGAGTACTAACTTGTACGAACAAGCTTCTATTTAATTCCCAATCTTGATAAACGAACGAAAAATCGATGAACCTATAAATATGCAAATTGGGATCATTTTCGCGGTCTAATCACGAAGAAAGCAGATGTGACCGGGCGTCTACTTTACCGGAAACAATCGTGTGCACGCCATTCAATCAATCGATTTTATCATCACCGTCGGACGCTGGAACAAATGGCGCGACGGAAATTGATTCGATTATAATTTATTATAACGAATATACCTATATAATTTTCCAACGCGGTCGGTTCCAACGAAGTGACGCAAAGCACGAAATTAGTCATGCATCCTCGGGAAAGAATATTTAACCTTTTAACGTGCCAATTTTCATATGATTAACAGCTAAATGATTCATTAGTCGAGGCTCGAATAATCAAAAGTTGGCGTTGCCGCGAATGAACTATTTCACGCGAATTATTAGCGATTAGTCTCGTCGTTACCGATTCAACTCCAATAACCGTTGATTATCCAACATTCCGCTATAGAAACGAACAACTCTAACGCGTCGAAATTTATTAAGAGACTAACGCGGGGCAAGATTCACCGTGATTCTCTGACCCGAGGAATCTCGGCCCCGATCCGGGGAACGTAATAACACTGGTAACCCCTGGGGTGTCCTGTAGTGAAGATGTATCTTCCTTAATCGTGTGTTACTAACTCCACCGGCGAGATGTTTAACAGGAAAATTACAGCGACTGAGAATCTAATCAGAATAGAGGCGGCCGCTTCGACGGAAATTCATTAGAGAGCTTCGGGATTACCGTCGTTGGTTTCGTTACATAAACCCGTGATCACCGCCGCCATCACACGATCGAAAGCACTGACGAAGAACAACCGCGTAATGTAGTTCCGGACACGCACGCAATTACGCGATCGGCGACGATCCATTAGTCCCGTGGCATACAACCCGCGTGCCGTTCGGCCGCATTCGACGATCGATTCACGACCTTTGCGGGAAGGTCGACAATAAGCGCAGCTTATTCCCGACGATTAATCAAAACCCGGCGGATAATGGGTAATATCCAGTATCTGGTAAATAGTAGGTCGAGAGTGGATACGCGTTTCCGGGCTGTAATGAGGCTGAATTTGCGAGCGGCGATTTCGTATGCGGCTCACGAGCGGACAGCATTGATTCGTTCCCGTGAAAATATTACCTGCGCCGTTTTTCACCCTTCGAAGATCGTTTCGAATAACCCGGATTCGACTGTGTAATACAATTTATGTATTCACCGATTGATGATCTGCCAAGATGCCATCCAACAGGACAGGCGTCACCGTGATAGGTATGTATTGTGGCGGCCGAAAAGCTGCCTTACGCCACTGGTTTTTTCTTTTTCGCGTTTACCGTTATAACTGTTCCTCCGCATAATCACATATTTCGCGACCAGACCGGCGCGGGCCTGCGGAATTTTTCAAAGGTTTTCCAGGCCTTGCTCGGAACTGCCCAGTTCGACGGGCAGCCTTGCAGGCCTGGAAACTTTCCATTCTTTATTACACATCTCTTTACTTGCTGTTTCACCGTTATCCTTCTTCTTCTTTATCTTTTGATTCTTTTCTCTTCGTCTCGACCTTCTCCTACTTCTCCATCTTTCTTTCTTTCTTCGCGCTAGTATATATTTTCCGACGAGAGTTTAGCGACTCTCATTCTTCTGCGCGTGTTACCGACGTCTTCATGAATCTCTGCGACACCGACGTTAATAAATAATGTTGAAGAAAATATTTCTATAATTCATTTTATTCGCCTTCACCACTTCCTCCACAGTATATTTCTTCACCATGCTAAGGCAATTTACTGAATGTTGGATAAACTGTAAAGATTCTTGGGAAACACCAATTCCAAGTCATTTCTATACTGCTGAAAATTGAAATATGTCGTATTATAGAATTTCTTAAATTTTTTCCTTTTTAGAACACAATCTCGCGGTAGTTTTTCCAATTTTGATCACTAAAATATTTAATACCGTAAATGGTGTAGCGGAGCCTATAAAGTACAAGCAGTTAACCTCCTGAAATTAATTCTGAGATTTGGTAACGTCTTAAGAGAAGAATTGTGTTTTTATGTCTTTTACGTAGATATGTAGACTAGTTTTGTTTATTAATTACTTTGTATAGAGTGAGACATTTCGAAACAATCTAGTATGTGTAATGTGACAAGACTATCGACGTGTAAGGCGCCATTGGCAATTTTTGAAAGAAAAACATCTTGATGTGCGTGGTTCACCTATCTAGAGCAAGAGATTAACACTTTGCGAGACAACAATCATTACATGATTTGATACAGTCAAATTGTAGAGTTTGATACTTAATATTCAGCTTGTAAAAATGCACCAATATGTGAAATAGTGAAATAAAATAACTTTGTTCCTTGATTCATGTATGATTTCACGATAAGTTTCCGAGAATGTTGTCCATTTCTTATCAAATAATGATGAATGTTCCCAGCGAAAACTTGCGTTTTTACAAAAGAATAAATTAATTAAAAGGAAGTGGTTCGAAAGGAAATTGAATTTCATGAAAAATCAATAAATCGGTTTGAGACAGATTGTTCGAGTTGTTTCAGTAACTTTGCTTAGTAAATGATAATCACGAAATAGACTGGAAGAATTTGAAGACTTTGAACTTATCCAGGTCGAGTATATTGTATTCAGTAACTTGAATATTTCGAAAATTGCACCGAAGTAATGGGTGACACGGATACTCTCTTCAACGCAACGCCAATTTCATTAACATGCGCCAAGTATTTCTAAACCAGCGTTCAAAGGGAGAATTTCAGTGAAATGTCCCCTAATGAAAAATCGTCGGCTAGAGTTCACGCGGCGATCGAATATTTCATCTCCATCGGTTGCGCGGCACGGCCACCGTCGCAAGACAAAGTCATCGATCTGGACTCCATGACCCGAATCGAACGAATTGGCCCGCGACACACAAGCCCACGCCGAAATCCGATATTGTAACATTGTTCTCCCCCTTGCTTCTTTTTAATATGTCAAGTGTTTCGATTTATAATGCCCGCCCGTGCGAGCGTTATGAATTTCATACGTTGACAATGCAGGGAATGGCCATAAATAAATGAAATGAAGGAAGGAAATGTGGAATTCACTGGCGAAAGAATGGAAACGTAAAAATATCCCGTGCATGTAAAAAAAAAAGACACGGAAACAGTTATGCGGTTTCATTGTATAGACTTCAGAGCAGATTTTGACAAGCAAAGTTATTTCGAACTTCGTAAGTTCATTCTTCGTTTATTATTCATTCCACGCTGATTGTATTTGTAAAAACATTTCTACTGAGAAATTACTCGCGTCAATCAGCAGAACCTCCGGTGATAAATATTGCAGAGTTCATCTCGTTTTTCGAGTTATGCAACTTGCAGCTTATTTTCGTCGCAATGTAGAAAATTGATTAACTTGGATCATCGGTTTGTGATTTTATTAGCACACTAATCGTGGAACATTTGAAATATCATACATCTTGATATTGTTTCTCTTACTTTTTCCTTTCCTTTCTACTCGTCCTGCAGATTTAAGATCCGTACAGACGCCTAATGCACCGTTGTTTTCCGTCCACTTTTCTACAATACTGCCACCATAAAAAGTGTCGTGCATCATCGTTTCTTAGTTAAAAAATAACTGTTACCCAAGTCAGAATCATACTCTCACGTATCTCTCACGCAAGTCATAGGCAGAAGTCGTATAAAATACGGAAAACTGTCTAATCGCAAAAGCAAGAACACAGTTTCATCATTTCCCAATTCACATGATCGAAACAAAAATGAATAAACACGGCTCCGTATCTTTCACCGAACGCTCGCGTGTCTTTTATAAAAATTGTATACGGAAAGCAGTGAAAATAGCAGCGGTACGTTTGATACCGTAAAAGAGAGCATTTCCTTTATTGAGACTATAAATGAGAGCAAACGGAAGAGGTGAAAGAATACATTTTATGGAATTCTATAAAAGACCGCGTATCTTTTATAGATACTCCGTAAGATCGTCGACGGTAAGGGGGCGGAGGAATACAATATTTTATATGATTCTGTCGAAAAAACCGAGTAGCGTTTGCGTATCCTGACAGATGTCGATACGAATGTGACGACACGGGAAATACGGGAATGTTTAAAGGAGCGGGGTCAATCGCGCTTCCCCCGTTGTCAGTCGGTGCGAATGGACCTTTCGTTTCCGCGAGAGATTTGCTCGCCACGGATAAGAGAAATTACTCGCGGCGCGATACGAATGGGAAGAGACAGGGAAATGCGCTTACCTGGCCTCGAGGAAATCCCCGGTTCTGCGGTCCTGTTCCCTCGAATTTCTGACAGTTTAACGTGAAATATTATTCGGCCGAGCAACCGGTATTGAATATTTCAACCTCTTCCCGAACGGACGGTGAATTAATGAAAAACTAAGGAGGTGGAGGGCGGCGAGCAGCGGCCCGGCGATAATGGCCGCGGGATTTTCGGGAAATTAAGTTAATGGCCGGATCATGTATCGCCCTTCAAGATTACACCGTAATTCCGACGAAACAAAGGATTCTCCCTACTCTCTAATTCTCTCCTTTAAACGGAACGGCAACGCG